CTACTGTCTAGTTGTTATGGCGAACACACGTCCCACTTGATACTATAAGATCTGTCGCATCCGCATACTCACTTCTGACACAGACACTCTCTTCCATCTCAACTCGCAAGTCACGACACGCTTCCACTTACTCTGCACTCTCATGTGAAACCACATGTTCCGCTACGCCCGCGCTCCCTGACCTCTGACTGTGCCACTTAGAAATGCACCTACGTGGTATAGAATCGAGACTAGTTTTGTGTTCGCCTTTTGTCCGATTGTAAAAGCACTGCCGTAGGCCTGCCCTCTCTCCTGAGTTTGGGTGCGTCAGTGGTGGGCCTTTGAGCAGCACTCGTCGGCAAACAGTTCCAAATCACCTTGCCGTTCTTTCCCACTAGGCGAGGCATTACAACTAGGCACTTATGACACTAACTCCTTGTTTTTCTCTTCCCCTGCAGCCCTCCTCATCCCCGGTCATAGAGCAGCAGGTAGCCGCTTATTTCGCAACTCGCTCGCGATGTACGTAAATCGTCCTTCAGACCGATGGCCTCATTTCATATCGGTTCGTTTTACGTCCGCGCTCGGAGTCAGACCGGCCAACCAAGAGCACTAACTCTCACACTTCGCTATCTCGGTATTGATGTGTACTGTGTTTCCGATACACCCATGCAGGATAACAGCGTCATGACAAACGTTCAACTCCCGGATCTGGAATCTGTGCACAATGACTACACTGTTCGCGCTTTTAGCGGTACTGAGTTAATTGCACAATGTAGTTATAATATCAGTATCACTGTTGTTAAACATACCAGTGAACAGTCACATGTGTGCAATTCCACTTCGGGCTCCATTGACGTTAGTATGCCCTATCTAAGGACAAGGGGCTTCTTCATCACTCCGGTTTGTGCTCCCACCGATTGCAGTTCAACGAGTACGAATGACGATTTTTTGTCAGCTCTCCTCTCTTATCCGTATGGCGAAGAATACCTTTATTATGGTTTTTGCTGGAGACATGAATGCTTTCGGACTCTGATCAACACCGTGGAGGCCGCTTCAGAGTCGATGCACGCCGAACAGACAATTGCGATCGATTCCTTTAACTGAGTGTTGATCATAATCTTTATACACACAACAATCTTTGCAACTTTACGTCGTGTTACCTGGTGCCCACCGAATTCCTCTATGGCCTGGACCCAATTTGACCACATCGCCACCAGCTGTAGATGGCGAACATCATTCCAATTTGGAGCACGTACCTGGATTCCAACCATGCTCTAGTGCACGCACGCTTGGCGCTCACTCTTTCTACTTCAAAGAAGCGTCTACCTTTTAAACTACTCACTTTTTACTCGAACTTGCACCCTCAGTTCAGGAATATCACCATGAACTGGCCCGCCAGCTGTCATTAATGAGTGAGGTTTTTTATCCGAATGTCGACTGGACTCGTATTTTTGACAGGACTCGGATTTGGACACGATTTTGCTCTGCCATCTCACCTCTACAAATTGAGACCATTTAGTCGACTAATTAGCTGACGTTTTACTCCGCTGCATGTTTCAATGTAATCGAGACACCAATCCCGTCAGTGCGCTATTTGCTGCAACGCCAAGTTGATTGCAGGCAATTCAATTCTGTTTATGAGGCACAATATGGCCCATACAACCTTGCTCTTCCAATCCTACTTCTGTAAAAAGTTTTCGGACTATTCTAAGCAAGCTTCACCGAACCTATTTAATCTGGGCACCTACACATTATCACCATTATTTATCCCCATATTATTGTCTAATTAATGTGCAACAATTTATGCTCATAGAGGATTCTGTACCTGGTTGATCATATATATTTAGGCATCGTGTCTCGTGCATTTCGAGAACAAACTATTTGTGTTTATTTACCTGTGCCAAGAAGAATGCTTTTGATGTCTGCTGTGCAACCAACTTGATACGTCCTGTATATGAGTGCATTTCTGAGGCATCGATCAGTTTGGTGCAGCACGCAACTAGGCTCCTTTAGATACTAGTCCTTAACGCTCTGAAACGATGGTTGACCGGGTGCGTTAATAATGTCCTGTAGAGTTAGGGGGTTGGCAAGACTCATGCGATGGGGAATGTCGGTGCTATTGTGGACAGCCGAGTACTGATCCAACTCATTCGGAGCACGGGTCCAAGAAAGCTCCCAGTTGGTTCAACGAGGGCTGAAAAAGACGGTATTTGATCCATTCTCAGCCGCGTCGGGTAACTCATTGGTTAAAACATTCTGTTGAGCAGTTCATTCGGCCTTCCTTGACACTGTCGCTTGCTGAATCGCCCGAGCCGACGTGTTAAATTGATGTTTCACCTCCCACTTTGAGAGAGATTTGACATAAGCTTACTGTGTTGAAAGGAAACAGTCCTCTTACACCCGACGACTTCCGTTCATCTTTGTTGAAAGGTGTGGGTGACTCTCTATTTACTGTACTTCCTGATCTGTTAAACATGATTAGGGACACTGAAAAAGTGCCGACAGGCTGGCGACTGTCAAATGTGGTGCCTATCTTCAAAATGGGTCAGAGGAATTTCTACAAAAATCACCGGGCCACTAACCCTACTTCTCTTGCCTCCAAGCGTCTCGCGGGTATCATTATTCGACGACTTGCATGGTCCTTAGGGGAGACGAATCATTGAAGACCAAAATAACATCTTGGTCGTGGTTGCGTCGACCACATATTTGCCCCTTGTTAAGTGTTACAACAAATACACAAACTACCGACTATGGTGTTTTTCCTTGACCAGTAAGCCGCCTCTTACCCTACTGATTGGGCCAGCTTTTAGCACAGCCTATCTGTGATGGGTATGTGAGTGAACCTTTGAAATCACTTTACCGCAACCCGAGAAGCTGCGTTAAGGTCTATGGGAAGCTATCTTCTGAGTTCTCCATGGCAGGTGGAGTTCGCCAGGATTGTCTTATATTCCTTTTTCTTTGGGTTTTTGGTCATAGATGACTTAGTTCTTTCAAACTGTTCCGGAGTGGAAGTTCTATTGGGTGACCGACTGACAAACCTTGATTATGCACACAACGTAGCTCTACTTGGGTCGGACTCGGTGACTATACAATCACTAGTTACTATGCTTATGTACGGCGCTGCACGCTTTTGCATGTGCTCCGCATCTTAGGATTTCAAAGTACTGTTACATAACTGGTCCGACTAGCCACAAGTTCTTTCTATCTGGGAGCAGCAAGTTGAGGTAGTTGTGTCACTTCTAGTCCAATGTCTGAGATCACTTCGCGTATCAGGACAGCCCGTGTGGATTTTCATGGATTCATGTCTATGTAGGCATAGGACTTTCTTCACATTGAGTCCTCAGGATTTCACGGTAAAGTCGAAAATATGTGTCGAGACAACTCTGACCAACACCGCTTGTCATAAAGGCATGTCACAGATCGTCATATTTCCTAAGTTAACCTAACGCGTTCAAGCATATGATACGCAGATTGTTCGCTCATTTTATGTGATGATCTTTCCGAATGATTATATTGAAAAACACGTAGCGGTTACTTGGATCGAACGCGCTCTTAAAATCACAGAACACAGCTGTAGCTTTCCTACAGTTTGTGATCCTTTTCTAGCATTTAGAGTGAAAATATTGTCTGTGTGTCGAAAGCCCGTCTGCGCTTCTTTCTCCTCTGTCTTCCGCCTTCCTCTGAGTTTGTTGATTGTCGTTAGAGGACCCAGTCAAGCGCAATTAGTAGATGTGCGGCTTTTGCGTAACGACGGACGGATGACTGGACAGGTCTTGTTCGCTGTGTGAAGGCCACCGAGACGCTCCCGCACTCTATCTGGACTTTCGTTTTTAGCTTGCACATCAGACGCCTCCCACACTCTTCTACATCCCTGTTTGACTTCTCTTTTCCTTACTCCGTCATTTTTCCAATGTTTTTGAGCCTTATTGCCTGGGCTACACAGGTTGAACTCACGCGATCCACCGTGCTTCTATGTCCAGGTCATATTTTGTTACCAGTTGAACTCCGATAAGTAACTGACCTTTGAGGATCTCGAATGCACCAGCATTCAGCCGTTCTCTGACTTCGTTCTCGTCCTCTTTTCGCTGTGACTCGGCCACCTGCAAACGTTGTCCAGTTAGTTCAACCCATATAATCGGGTATCACTGGATTAATCCAATCCTAGACGTGTGTCCACCTTTTTTTCGTCATAATGACAATTCACGCCACAAATCGATTTATGTTACATGGATCCGGCAATAACTGTATTTTTATTTGTTCCATCTGGTAAACTAGCCACTTAAAACTCTATGCTATTACTGTCGTGCATTATGTACCTGTGGCTGTACCCACGTAAATGTGGCAAGCAGTGTTGGTTTGTCTAATTTTGGCTCTGCTCCGTAGCCAACCCTTCTCGAGCACCTTTGTTAGTGTTTGTTTCTGTTTGATGAAGCTTCTGGTTTAACACTTAACACTTCCACATTCCGTGCATTCCTATATTTGTTCTATTGAGTCCCGTGACTACTTCCACTCACCGACGGTAGTGAGAACACGAACGACCGGAGACAATGATTCAAGGATTCTTTTACATAGGGAAACCACTTCGTTATGTAGCATGACGCACAAGCGTGAAAGTCAACCAAAGTACGGAAAGCATGCGCACAAGTAAAACCAATACAGACAGCACAAATAAGGAACAATCAGATGCACACCAAGAACGGAACGTGTGGGCTAGTGTCAGCGTACCGCTGCGATTTGAAGGCAAACATTACGACTCCAAAGAGCCAACAAGAGTAGCGAAATGATACGTTAAAACAAACATCAGTGCACAAACAGAGCAAAACCAAAATCTACAGTCATGAACGGTTACACAAACACACCTGTAGTTTTAAGTTCAGAGAGGTTTGGAACCAATTTCTGAACTCTTTATTACTCGATCGGTTCCAAGTATCTTCCAAGAATTCGATACCTGTAGTTTGTTTTTTTCCTCTAACAATGTTTATCAAGCATTCTCTACTCTGTTCCTTCTTTTGCTTGCCTAGGACCTCATCCATGTAACTCACAGCAAACTTTACACCGAGTACTATTGCGCGCGGTTGATGTCTATTGCACAAGCCAGTCAGTTTCATGTTGAACCAGACGGTCGAGAACCTTTATACCAACTTGAAGCGGAACGTCTGGAATCTCAGAAAAAACTGGCTATGCTCGAGGCCGAAATGGAGACTGTATTTGAACAAAAGGCGAGTGTTTGCAGCCTGTTTCCGATCCTAAACTTGCATTTTTACACTGTGAGAAATGAATAATTTCAATAGCATAACAGCCTTCTTTCCTGCTATTCCTTACTATGTCAGTCTATGGTCCCTTCGGTTTCACTTAGGTCGAGTGTCGCTGTGACAATATTGTGGCCCGCCATTTGGTTTGCAAATCAACTGCCTTATGTCGCACTCCAACCTCTACAGAATCCCAACTTCATACATTGGTCTGGGAATGCCTTCCAAATGCCGCTCGTCATCCCTGAAACCAGTTGGACAAAACTGTGACATTAGCCAAAAACGCAGAAATTCTTTGGGAAACGTGGTCATTCCGCTACGTTCCCCTTCTTAGATATGGACCTCAGGATAACCACCTCGGTGGTTAGAAACCATATTTTACATGGCACAGTCACATCCCCAATGGAGCTCTCGCGTTCGGTCTCTTGCGTGCCCTCCGACTCGATCAATTTGCCCAACTTTTTCCTTGCGTCCTTTTTCTATTCTAATTACATCGTATCTCCTTAGCCCAGAATAGTAGTTGGGCCCATCATACCACCGTAGTCGAATCACAGGTGTTTGGCTAAACTGAACTGAATTGGCCTGGACGCCTTTCGGTGCTGTGGCCACACGTCAGGTTACCTCATCTCATCATCATCCATAAGATGTGGCCGTCCTCTGCAATACACCGAGTTCACCATCATCGCTTCATTCCAGTGGGTTGTTTGTTTAAGATGTCGCGACTCACTTCCATCTCCTTGTTTTTTTACACTACTGCATGCTTTTCGCTGCAGTTGGCTTCTGTCCGAAATTTAAGTATCTGGGCGCCGCCGTAATTAGCGTTAAGGTCACGAACCATACAGCAAAAACTCGAGGCGCTTTTGCCAATCTCCACCACTTGTGGCGGCGGCGTGGCATCACTCTCGCTCTGAAGGGTAGAGTTTACCATGTAACCCTCCTGTATGGTTGCGAAACCTGGCCCATGAAGTCGACAAACATAAAGAGATTGTTACATTCAGCCATCGCTGCCTTCGCAGCTTGGCTTACATCTGGTGGGAACACCGCGTGAGCAATGAACGTGTTCGGCGGTGTTTATTTGGTGCATGAAAAGCGAGTGAACCGCTCAGCATCGTTATATCACGTACCGGACTCCGATGACTTGGCCACATGTTGCGTATGCCAGCACACCGACTCCTGCGGCGTGAGTTGTTTGCGCGTCCGACGTCTGGATGGAAGCGATTACTTGATCAAGAGAAATGAAGTCTCATTTCGAACTTGTTGTCGGTTGGTGTTTCCCGACTGCCGGACTGGTGTCCGAAGAACGCTGAACACGTTTGGTTGGGCACACTAGTTGATATGGCGAAGAGTCGAGCTCAGTGGCATTTGTGTTGTGAGTCTGTTTGTTCCTCCCCTCTCAGCTTCCTCCTCCAACAACAACATAAAACCCCACGCATAATGTGATTTTAGCATTATTTTGCTTTTTAGGTTTTTTAGTCTGTACCGTATTTTTCGGACTATAAGACACACTTAAAATCCTTATATTTGCTAAAAAAATCGGCAGTGCGCTTTATGTATGAATGATTGTGCTGAGGCCTAGTGACCTCGAATCAATTACTATGTTCACACTGCGCTGAAAAATCTGTCAAAATGTTTTATTACGACTTTGGTTGTCGAAGCATAATCGCTAGTCAGGAACTTCGTGGACTCACTTTTCTCTGTTGCCTAGACAGACTTGTTTTGGGGTTGGCGAGCTCTGTGCAAGGGCCAACTGATTCGAGGTTTTCTGGCGACGATATACCAACCACCCTGATTTCCCATACTGTGAAATATTTGATGGTTACTCCACCCGGTAAACTCACTTGGTCCAACAATGCACCTTGCAAACACTGTTCAAAACACACACCTGTATCCCGCAGGTTTCAAGTGAGTGTTTGAACACACGATCTGCGCTTACACCAGTGCGGTCATCCAGACATTCGGCGACTCCCTTGTGAGCTTCACTCACATCATCGTCCAAACTCAGATTTTCGGATAAGCAACTGGAACATACCTCGTCGTGCTTGTACTACCGAGGGAGTAACAGCGCACTTACGGAGAAATGCGTGATAACATACAATCTGGTCAACATAGGAGGTCAAACACGATAACAGTTTTCAGCGCCAATCACATGCTGGGGATCAAGACGAAGCTTGTTCGCCTACTCTTATCACTTTTCCTGATATGTACTGTGCTTCAACATACCGGTAATTAAGGGCCCCAACCTGACACCTGTTAAGAGACATGCTTAGGAAGCAGATTTCAAACTCAAGGCCATCAGCCACGCATTACAACAGGGGAATAGAGCAGCTGCGAAAAAACTCAACATTAATGAATCAGTGGTGTGAAAGTGGAAAAAGCAAGATGACCTGCGCCAAATAAAGAAGACAAAGAAGAGTTTCCGTGGGAACGAAGCAAGATGACCACAGTTAGAGGATAAAATTGAGCCGTGCATTACTGAAGATAGAACAGCAGGTAGTAGTGTCACTACAATCTCCATTCGATTCACGACAATAGCGATGACACGTGATCTGAAGATGAACGGCTTTCAAGGAGATCCTTCTTGGTGCTTCCGTTTTATGAAAAGGCGTTATCTCTTCATCCGCAATAAAACTGCCACCTCGCAGTAACGGCCAAAGGATTACGAAGTAAATTTGGCCATTCTCCGCACTTACGGCAAAAACAAGCTCACCGCAAAGAAGATCCAGCCGAACCACATTACAAACATGGACGAGATTCCTCTCATTTTTGACATCCCCGTGAAACGTACTGTTGAAAAACAGGGACGACTAATGTACCTATATGCACCACAGGGGAACGAGAAATCATCCTTCACTGTAGTTCTCGGTTCCCAGGTTAATGACCAGAAACTACCACCCATGGTCATTTTTAAGAGGAAGACTGCCAAGACTTAGGTTTCCTGTTGGGGTCATCGGCAAGGTCAATCTAAGATACTGGATGGAGGAGGCGAAAATGAGCGAGTGGCTGAGGGAGGTTTACCTCAGGATATCGGATGTCTTTCTCCACACAACGTCCTTATTGATCTACGACTCCATGTGCGCCCATCTCACCGAAGCTGTTAAACGTCAAGTGAAGAAAACTAATTCGGGGCTTGCCGTCATTCCACGAGGATTGACTAAAGCACTCCAACCGCTACGTATTGGTGTCAACTGGGCGTTCAAAGTTAGATTGCCAGCAACGTGGAAGCATTAGATGACAGTTGAGCACACGTTTACCAAGACAGAGAGACAACGCCGGGCTAGTTACGCTACTATCTACCAATTGATCCTCGATGCCTGGACCAAGGTATCGGTTTCACCTGTTGTCTGAGCTTTCACGAAGGCCGGCAATGAACAGCCAAGCGACAGCAACGAGACTAACTCAGATGATGATGAGAGGAATCCGGTCTTGCTTGATTCCGCTATCGCCCAACTGTTAAACTCCGACACTGGAGATGAAGAATTCGACGGCTTTGTAGAAGAGGGATGGTGAAAAGTGAGTGCATTTTTCTGTTTTACGTGTGTTATAAGTGAAATATATTTATACTTATTGTTAATGTGTTGAATTAAGTCTGACCTATCCGACTATTTTGTTTCGCTTTATGCGCCTTATAATCCGGTGCGCCTTATATTTGAAATTAGATCCGTTTTCTAATACTGTGCCTTATCATCTGAAAAATACGGTAATGTTTAACCGCTTAATTCTTGTATTGCAGCACATTAGCTGTGGTGCCTCTCATCCTCGGCTAACGTGTATTAGTGTTTTACGACAGCACCAACTAGGCTAAATGGTTGGGTCTGTGTCTCTTCTCGTATGACCTTAACTCCTACTCCGTACACCGTGTTTAGCTGCCTCGGACTCATATATTAACCATTTATTTCTCCTACTACTTTTGTTGGCTCCAGGAGATTTATACATGCTAACCTTGATGATGGCGCGCACATTCTTTTGGGACGACGTAGGTTTCAAGTTGTGTCTCTATAACAAGCAGGCGCGGACCCACCCACTTACTATGAATGCACCCAATTGGTCCGCTTCCGGCATTCGCTGTAGAAAAAATGAGAGGCATCAGCAGTACGCCAGCACACCGTACCACAACTATTCGGTGCCGCACGGTCACCAACAGTCACACGTGGGCTGAGTATAACACGAGGTTGTCCTCATCCACGCGGATTCGTATTGGTGACCTCCGGATTGTGGATTCTTTCGGCAACTGGCCGTTTAGCGGACCTACATTTTGCTGCTGTACGTTTCATCTACACTGTCTACCGTAGAGGATCGAGTGACCCTCGCAGTATCAGCCCACACGCGACTGGTGGTGGTTGCGTGACAGTGAAGCGTCGGTACTGTGTCTCGGCGTACAGTTGATTCGTTTTTCCCCACACTGTATTGATATTCCCAAGACCTTTAAGTACCGTGACACAGTTTTGTCTAATCATTAGTGGTTTTGATGTCGCTGAAATGTGGGCTTCTCCATAAATTATTGTAGCTCACACTCGTTTATCTCCTGTTTGTTTCCATGCTAGCCTAATCGTTTTGGGGCGAGAAGGAGACCAATACATGTTCAGTTCCACTTTTCTGTCTACCAATTGGAGCGACGTTATTGAACCAATGGTGACGAAAATCTGATCAGGCTTTGTGCAATTGTTTGACTGCTCTGGTAGCATGATCGTAACTACCAAATTTACGATGTGTAGAAAGTTCGGAATTTTCTTGTGAATAATATGTATTTTGTTCTGCAAAAAGATGCATACTCTCTTCAAATCACCACCTGCTTCCCATGTCCGCTACTCCCGCAAGTACGATTGTGGTACCAGGGCAGCTACTTCGTTTCGCGGAGATACAAGGAGGAATAGTAGCGAAGTGTAAAGTGGTTTATGGCAGCATTTCATTGCTTTATCTGAAATGTGGGAACGCACGTGTCTTCCCCGTTTCAAAAAGATGGGTTGCTTCCGTGTCAGCATCATTCTCGCCTCAGAATGATTAGCAGTAAAACATGGAAAGAAACAGAAAATGTGCTACCAAGATGTATCTTAACAAAAGTGGGTAATCTTTCCGATTTTCCCTATTTGGTGGGATTCCTGCTGCTAATATGCCACCAGACTCCCCTGGTCCGTGGATATACGCAGATACAAACTACACATATAGACACGCACACTGTGATTGTTTGCTTCCCCAGGGACTTGTAAATCCGGAAACATTTTTTCTGTCAGTATGTCAAATCCCCTTTTCCTTTTACATCAAAAGGTTCGTGAACGAGCGTCCAAACTGAAGGAAAGCGAAATTGAACTGGACAGCCAGATCGCTCGATTGAATCAACAGTTGGCCGCGGAAAATGCGGAGTTTGAGCGATTAAAGCATGCCTTTGAAGACCAATGTTCCGTTTGGGAAAGCGAAAATTATGCCACCTTAGAGGTCAGTGGTATTCATCTTACACACATATGCCATTCCGTCATGTTTCTACAGCCTAGATTTCGGTACTCAACCACCGATAGGATGATTAATGTTTTTTATCTGTTCGCCTTCTGTCCCGGCCCCTTATAGCGCGTTTTTCCAACTAACTACTTGCCTTTTGACCAGATACGGCTTAAGACAAGATCCTTTCTGAGAGTAGTATACCGGCGTGGCGCTGAGAGGTCTTGAACATCATGTTATTCAGACGTTGGCGAAGTTCAGAGGTCTAGGTTGTCTGAATGACCAAGCTGAGTGGTTGGTTCGGATGCGGCCAAGGCACTCAAACCATCACACCACGTTAAAGTCCAGTCTCATCTCAATAGCCTATGTTTCAACGGTCGGATTCCCAAATCAATGGAGAGCAGTCCAAGTCCAGGAGTGACACTGCAAATTACCAGCCAAAGAAAGGCATAAGGAGTACATCTGTACGCCGTACCGACGCTTTGCTACCAAACAACCACCCAGTCACACGAGGGCTGAGGTTACTACGCGGGTCACCCGGTCCCGTATCGTGGCTCGAACCCGCAACCTCCAGGTAGTAAAGCAAACGTCTTTGTCCTTTCGGCCACCGGCCGGCTGAGTCCAAGGGGACCTGGTACGTGCAGAATTTGTAGATTCGTGACTGTTCGTGTATGCTTTCCGAAAGTATCAGACAAAGCCAAATTAACGACCAGCGGCTGCTGAGTTGCAACGAGGCAGCTAGTGTTGTTGAAAATACCAGCGCTCAATCCTGAGGGATCCAGCTGCAGCTGCAGTTTGCAACTTGTGAATAATCGCCGACTAAACGAAACACTATAGCCCAGAGTTAATGCTGTATGTGGATTAGAAGTACTACTGCTACTACTTGATACAAGGCCATGGAAAGCTCGCGGTGCTCTTGCTGTGCGCCAAACTAAATGAGGCGGTAGATTGTGAAAGGCTGCTCTTTGTGGGTGCGTTTTGATGTGTGAGATTTATCAAATACTCTTAAGGCGTTTAAGTCCGGTTTTTCACCCATGGTCAGAGGTGAATTCAACTTCTTTGGTCTACGCCATCATCATAATAAACATAAATAATGACAATGAACGCAGATAGTTGATGCGGCAAGATGAGCATACGGATCAAGCAAAAAAGCCCAAATCACCTGAGGGGGCAGCCAAGAGTTAGAATTAATTCGGCAAATGCAAAGTAGACGCTGGTCTTGTGGCGAGACCATACCCAGTAAGATTTATAACCATCATTGCAGATGATCTCAAGTATCTTCATTCAGGAAGACGGCATACCAACCAGGCATATGTAGGTCAGTTGTCTAGTGTTTCTTTTAAGTTTCGTTAAGTTTGACGCAGTATTGGTAAACAATGGAAGCCGGTGTAGATGATCAGCAGGTGCAAAAGTGACATGCGCTCCTGTTAGTGTCTACGGTTCAAGTTCAGTAATCACCTCGGTGCGACACCAAAAGCCCTGTTGCCGGAGAAATCGACTAATGAACTTCGGCATCATTCCTTTAGTGGTTTTATCAGATATTAGGATTGCTCTTCAAATATTGATGAGCAAAGACGACCGAATTCTCGATGCCAAGTCTCCTGTTTATATAGTAACTCTGACAGCACTGTAGCGCTGTGTCCTCTATCCTAAACAAATAAGCTAACGTCAAACCTTCTTCATTGGTGACTACAAATGGAAACCGTAAGGACCTAATCAAAATGTGCGACAACCCCTTCGGTGATATGGCTATCCGGGTACGTGAACCAATCAACGACCTCAATACCCATGGGAACTGCCAGTGTCGACACAATTCGGTAAGAGTGCGTCGCTCTGTGGGGGCGCGAGTTACACACCGAGGCGCGCGGTGCTCGGTGTCAACTTCTCAGCAATACTTACGTGACCGATGTGTTCGACCCAAGTAATGTCTGAGTACTATAAGTCCATTAATCGGTTGGTGCGGCCTGCGGTTGTATGCAAGGATAGTGGAGTTGTGTTCACTAAGGGACGACCACCAGTAAAGATGAAGTGAAATGGTGACGCAAGTGGTGCTCCCGCTAGGGACCACATGTGGCAACTCTTTGAGTATGGCTCACTTGGAAGACAACAATAGAATACGCACTCTGGAGATATAAGCATGAAATGAGTGAATGCTTTCAGTTCAAGGCCGCGAAACAAACAGCACACGTACTATCCATGCAAGTTGAGTTGTGATCATTGAGCATCCCGGGGCCACCATGTACATCAATGCCCAGCGCTTTGGAATAAAACAGGACAGTTTAGCTGCGTAAATCTCTAAACAACACAGTCAAACGACATCAGACAATGACAAACTTCAAAGGTCTAGCTTATCTGAATGACAAAGCAAGGTGGTTGGTTCGGAGGCGGTTAAGGACATGTAAGTGGGTCATTGTGATGAGGGGCCATGGTAGAACAGGCTCGTTTTCGGTGGATCTCGTCAGGCTTATACACCACAACTGGGGTCCGAAGGGCGATGAGCACGTCTGGTTGAATACACTCGTTGATATGGCGGGGGTGGGGGCGCGACCTCAGTGACATTTGTATTGTGAGTCTCTTTGCCCTCCCCATCTCGCTTGTCTTCCATCTCCACAGACGATCTCTGTCTTGAAGTGTAATATGTTACTAAGTAGCTGGTTACCCTTTTGTATCTCTTTTTTAAATGTCAAACTTCTTAGTATTACATCACCATAGTTGAAATGTCTCGCCTTCAGTTAATGTGTAATGTTGATGGGCTGCGAACGGACCTCCTAAGCAATCTACCATTAAAGTCGCTCCCTTTCCTTCTAAACCATCTGCTCCGAAAATGTGCCTCTTGGTTTCTCCATCTTTCACTGTTTTATCCTTATGTTTAACAGCGCTCCTGCTAGATTGCCTGCTATTTTACTATGCAAACAATTGCGCCCATTGTCTTTCGAATTCCCTATGCGCATTGCGAGCGTTCACAACTTCTGTCAGACAGGTTGGATAATAGCATCTGGTCTCCTTATGCACAGTGTCGGTTTTGATACATAATGAGTTAGATGCCGCTGTATCTCTATCTAAACGTCTCTGATTCTGTTCTCGGTTGCGTGCTTCGTCTTCGCGATGTTTCGTAATGCGAATTCCGAGTTCTTTGCACTGCTTCAGTTGTATCGACTGTGGACGCGAAAGGATTCCACCAAGTAGTAGTACTAATTATAGTGAAAACATGGCATATCACCACACTGCATCCTTCCCTACTTCTGATATGCACTGTCTCCATTGATAGCCATGAGATTGAACAGTGAATTTACACGGGTAAAAAGCAATGCTTTTCATTTCTCGTTGGGTGTTTATGCAGCATTATCGAAAACTAAAGAAGCAGTGGATTATTTACGTTTAAAAGAGGGACTTATCGTTTGTTTCCCTGTAGTCCCGTGGTCCGTGTAGTTTCACAGCACCAACATGTAACAGCAAATAAATCCAAGGTATATTTCAGTAGTGGGATGGCGATGTGGTACTAGGTAATAAAGTGTTGGTGAGTAAATGAGTCATACAAACGTCTTTTAAATCTGGCTTAGTGATGATGCAGAAATGACCGCTTCTGGAAGAGCATTCCACGGATGACACACGCGGACGGAAAAGAGATTCCTGCGGCAATCGAGGCGGATGTACTGTTCTGCCAGTTTTAGCGAGTGATCATCATCATCAACAGCAGTACATCAGCCATTTGAACTGATGCTTCGCTGCCATACAACCATGAGGACCTATGAAATAAAGAATAAGAAGAGGGAGAGAAGGGGGACTTACCTGAAAGCCTTAATGCTCTAAGCAAACATTCAGGGTCAAGGCGCCTACACCTTGTGTAGACAACATACCGTCACAAACAGCTGGCTATCGTGCAAAGATAAGGCGGCATCGGCGAGACAGCTTCCTTGCGGCTTTCACTGCCACGCGTCATAATCAGCCATTACCCCGCAGATAACTCAGCACCAAACACACTTTAAACAGACACTCAGATTAGGAGACGGCAGCAGACGCGCCACTGGTGTCGGTTGCGAGCCATGTCCTGTAAAGTCTCGAGCCAAGCACAAGGTGAGTCACGTGGACTCCAACCCGGAAGGCGAGACGGACCAACGGCACCCAGTTTGGTCGTCATTGACTTCATTTCCCGCTTCCAAGTCAACTTCTGTCCACCTCGAGCCTTGCGCCACCCTACACCTGGTAGACTGAACAAGGCCCTCCTAGGTAAGCGGTGACCAGGCATGCGTAGCACGTGCGCGAGCCAACGTAACTTATTCAGTGCTATCTGTTGTTCTAGGGAGCTAGCATGATCATCACTACCTAGTACTCGCCTACGCACATCATCGTTGCGGACACGCTGGTGCCATCCGACTCCAGCAATGCTTCGCAAACAACGATGATCAAAGACTTGAAGGCGCCTCAGATCTTCAGACCGAAGGGGCCAAGTTTCACTACCATAGAGCAGAACGGCCCTCACTGTGGCCTTGTATACACGGCCTTTCAGACGGAGGGAAACTCCTGTCGCCAAAGATGATGCAGGTTCAAGAAGGCAGCTCTGGCCTTTGCAATGCGTGAGCTCACGTCAGTTTCTATGCGCCCATCATTGCTGATGCAGCTGCCAAGATAAGTGAATTGATCAACCACATCGAGTTCCTCGTTAGCAAGCGTCAAGGGGTCATCGAGTGGCTGGTGGTCCTGCAGCAACACTGCACTTTGAAGGTGCGAAGTGCATACCAAATAATGGGACCACTCTGGACAGGTTATTCAGGGTTGATTGTGCCGCCTCAACATTGTCGAAAAGCACGACGATATCGTCTGCATAATCTAGATCAATTAACAGTTCACCAGGCAGCACTTCAACACCTACATCGTGAGATTCCGCAAGGGAACACTCCATGATAGAATCCACGACGAAATTGAACAAAAATGGGGAAATCGGGCAACCCGGTCGAACGCCACTTGTAGTCGAAAAGCTATCTGATAGGGCACCATAGACC